CAGTTGCCGTCACCCTATGTTAAATTCATCTGTTATCTGTTCGTGTCCTCGCAGTCTAAGCAAGAGGGTGAAAGGGAATGTATAAAGTTTACAAAAGGTCGTACACACACAGAGAAGTTAGTCTTCTTTGAGATAAATAGAGAGATGTCTACAGTAGAGATATAACCTTACTTCTAGGACCATACCAATACAATGCCTAGTAGTAATTACTATTATTCAGGAGTCAAATGTTTGCAAAAAATTGACTCCTTTACTGTTAAAACCATGTTTATTTATCCAGACCTACGGTTCTCAGGCAGGGCACACGTATTTTAGTGCTATCAACTGAGATTACATTTACCCCAGATAAAATCAGATCATTAAACGTTGAAGGGTAATTCACCTCTGTAGGATTAGGTTGCAGGCAGGATAATGCTTACTAAGGATGCGATAATAAACAATGATATTGTTTATCATGATAAAAATACTAGGCAATAATCATTTGTGAGATATTTTATATAACTGTGATCGCATTGTAAAAATGTGCAGGAAAAATCTACTTATCTATCTTGACCTTTGCTGGATCATAGTTGTTTTCACAAATAACAAAGTTCAGTTATATAAAAATGGTTTAAACTTGGAACTTATTCATAAAAAAATTTATTATTCATATCCACAACATTTTTAAACTGTCAGCAACTTTAATAATTCTTGTGATATGATTGTGATAACCAGGACACAAAATTACCCCATGCCTAATGCCTGCCTTGGTGCAAATCAAGAGTCCCTGCACCTATTCAATGAAGCAAAAAATATGCAAAAAAACATAATAATAATAATTAGTGCTGTCATGCGATTAAAAAAATTGAGAGATTAATTAATTATGATCTGTAATTAATTAATCTAATTAATCTAATTTTAATCTCACCTAAAAATTGCTGAGAAAAGCCTTCAATTTGAGGTATTTTCATTTAAATTCATTATTACATTATTGTGGCAGATCAAAAGACTGATCTAGAACAAAAAAAAGTGACTTTATAAAGTCATTTATTGTTTAACAAATCTCTCCAAATTGGTTGTTGAGTCCAAGTCTCCATGAATATGAAACTGTTTGCTGTAAAGTAGCAAAGACAAGGAAATCTGAACATAATAACTTTTGTCTAAAGACAATAAAAAGTCCAGTCTTTCCTTAACCATATTAAAAATATTACTGATAGAGAAATGCTTTATATATGAGATCACTGGTTTTAGTCCTTGTTTTAGTCCTGGTTTAGACCTGCTTTAGTCCTACTTTAGTCCTAGTTAAGTCCTGGAATGGATTAATCCTGGTTTTAGTCCTGGTGTTAGTTCTGGTTTAGTGCTGGTTTAGTGCTGGTTTAGTCCTGGTTTAGTCCTGGTTTAGACCTGGTTTAGACCTGGTTTTAGTTCTGGTTTTAGTTCTGGTTTTAGTTCTGGTTTAGTCCTGGACTGGATTAGTCCTGGTTTTAGTCTTGGTGTTAGTTCTGGTTTAGAGGCTCACAGGAGGAAGCGCGGAGAAAACACGATCCACACGCGGCTCACGGGAGCACGTCGGTGTCCGCGCAGTAACTATGGAAGGAAATGTGGTCTGCGCGTTCTCAGGTTAATGACGATGATGAAGGTGTGTGTTTGTTTGTGTTTGTGTGTGTTTGTGTGTGTGTGTTTGTGTGCGTGTCCCCTCATGTGGCAGGTCACTATAGGACAGTAGTGCAGACATCATGAGCCTATGCAGGTTGTTTTCACCAGTGACATTTAAGTTGTAGGCGATTTTATATTTATTTTCTTTTATATTTCACGTCGGGAGAATAATTTCCAAGACACGAATGTGTTTTTACCTGTGCACTGCTGACTCTGTTCTACTGGCTCTTCGACCTCGTCCATTGTGCGACTGACGCCGCCAACGTGAACATGACGTTTACGTCGCTCTTACTGTTTCCGGCAATGAGTGGAATTACCGAAATAAAAAAATGTATAAATGTGTTGGGGTGAGGGAAGTCTGGGAGTGTGTGTGCGACCCGGCCCCGGATGCGGACGAAAATGGATGTGTGTGTGTGTTGTGTGTGTGTGTGTGTGTGTGTTGTTGTTGTCCCAACAACACATAAAAACAGGTTTTATAATAAAGCAACTCGCATACAGAAACACTAAAGTTAGAGATTGAAAAATTAGATTAACGCGATTAAAAAACATAACGCGCTAAATATGACTGTAATTAATTAATCGCAATTAACGCGATAATTTGACACCCCTAATAATAATACAATATTTGAACTAGAAGAAAAAATAGTAAGACAGTAAATTTCATGGGATATTGACAAGAGCCAAATTGTGTTAAATAGACAACCAGGATAAAGCATGTCCAATACTTAAATATGTTATTTCATTCATGTTGTACCTCATTGTGATATGTCCTCAACTGCACTGCTGTACATAGATTAGGCTTTCACTTTGAACTGGTACAACACATGTAAAATGCAAATGACTCTTAACCTTCAAATCCTTGTGAGCACCACTTATTAATGAAAAAAAAAAAAAAACACCAGCTCATGTCCTGAAAATCAAAATACTGAACAAAGTGTGACCTTTGCACAACCAGAAGTGAAGCAACTCCACTGATAAGACCTGTTCTAGCTCCCAAATGAGAGCCGGAGATTAAAAACCAAAATCCTAATGATCCAGATTTACAGTTTGAACAATATAGAAGACAAAGACGAACAGAGGGCACCCTGTGAGAGCCGCTCACAGTGGTGTAAGGTTATGGGGGAGATTTGCGTCAGACCCTCAGCAGGAGCCATATTGAATCTAAATGTGCTGTGTGCCAAGAATGAAGAAACCCATAGGAGGAAGTGATTCTGACAGTGAATATTTATGTGATGGCCTTTCTAAACATTCAAGTTCATCTTCTCCAGCTAACATCACAACAAAATAGTCCTTGCATCCCCCAGATAAATTTAGCAGGTAAAAAGGGGTTGAGTGGCGGTAAAATATAACCGACAGGGCCATAAAGCGAGCAGCACGTGGGACTAAAAAGAGAAGGTGGCAGAGGACATTGTACATTGTTGTTTCCTCATCCTGGTAATGAGATCCATATTACCCTAATCCTCCCTGCAAAACCCACAACATCAAAATCTCAGAGCTCAATGTCCCCGCCCTCCCCCTCCCCTTAATCATCTGCAGAGACAGAAATCCTTGACTTTAAGTGAAAGTGAAAGGGGAATAAACGCCTGCATACAGAGAGAGGGTATAAGTAGTCTTAGAGGTGCTTAATAGGGATGAATTCTAAACCCGATGAATAGTAGTAGAGTTGGCACAACTAAACTGCAAAGGAATTCGAAGTGCACGCACAATGAGCAAAGCAATACATCATTTGTAAAGGTCAATAAAAACATTAGCGTTGGCAGAAAGGCAATATAAAAGATGCACAATGTTTAGTGTGAGATTGCTGAGGACTCAGGATGTCTACAACATTTATATCAGGCACAGTTGAAGAGTTGCCAAGCTGCTAACTAAATTGGCAATTATTTCTCCGTTCTTCACAGTTATCTTGCTGTCAACATTTTAGAGGCTCACGCTTTTTGTTCCATATACTTCAAAGATTTGGAATGGGGAACTTTCACAGCAGGTGACATAATTTCAGTAAAACTAGAAATAATGTTCAACTCTGAAACAGAAGATACATTTAAAAATGTACGACCTCCGTGTGCTCTTATTATATTTGACTAGTTTTATTGCAGGACTAGCACACCTAATTGTGGCTTTATTTTATATTTGTACTGTATTTTATATGTGTATTTTGCAGTGGTTTAGAAACAAGAATATATATTCCATTGCATTTGACCTACAGTCTGACAGCTCAGTAGGTGACTGTCATACCCAGGGACCAGATTTTGAGCTGTTTGATCAGGACCACATAGCTAAAGGATTAACCAGGAGGAAATCTACCCAGACACACTGAGAACAAGCCAGTTACATAGACTTATAAGCATTACAAGCAACTGACATTTTGTTCTTGAATTCTTATATTGGTCACTATATTGTTTTAATTAATTTGTTTATTAATTATGGTGAATATATATTGTGTTGTATTTGTATTTTGTAATTGTATATGTATCATTATCTGTGTAGTTACAAATGGCTTTGCACTAAGATAGTCAGGCATGTGTGGAATTCAGTATTCTACGTGTCAGACTTCCATTCACACACAATAACTACACGTGACACTGCAGTTCTGCCTGTAAACCCTAAACTATTCAGACTATTCAATCTGTGGAACTCACTGTCATACTCACATACACCCCTCCCCCCCACACACACACATACAGGAGCACTTTTGTCTTGCTGAGGCGTTATGCTGGTGTTTACAGGGTTAAGTGTAGTGCAATAGGCCTGAATGCCTCATTAGGCTGTTCATTCACTGCACACACAAATTACAATTAGAGCCAGTGCATACATAGTAATATTCAGTATCTAATACTATGCAACAGTTTACCTCAACACAATAATAGTTGCTCAGGAGTAAAAATGAAACAGTATGGAATTTCAACGGTATGACAGGATACCAAGTGTGTATGCAATACAATAGTACCTCTTACCTATGAAGGTTTTGTATGTAATATAGCACTCCTTGTTTATGCTCTACTTGCTGTGCTGACATTTGGGGAAACGGAGCAATTATCACAGAAAAACAAGTAACCTATAGGTCTATAGGGAAGGACAGACACACATGGATTTTGATAGACTTCATACTGTTACTTGTTATTTACATTGTTTTGTGACCTATTTATTATTCTCACAACATGGATACTGCAGCATTTTAATACAGCAGTATATTTTACCAGTTATTGGCCTATCCCTACTCATGAGTCAGAAAGATGATAAAGAATGAAAACAGAAAGTTGGGTCACCAGTCTCAGTAGGCTCTAAACCTGCTTGGTGACATTGTTCACTAAACTTGTTTTTTTACGCTCCTCCCCATGATTCACAGCATTGCCAAGTCTCTATTAGTTAGTACACATGTCTCTACAGGGCTCACTACCTCTACTGGATTTAATATTGTTGTCTGGAGAAGAAAGGCTAGAGCTTTTTATACTGTAGATGCCGGGCAGAAGAGTAAAGCTCCTTTACATGTGTAGGCCTAGTGACTGAGTGTAAAGAAGCAGTATCAGCTTGTACAAAGTGGGCGCAGTGCTTTGTACTCATGGAGCACTTGAACCCATCTCTCGGGCAGCTCAGAGACTTCAAGAAAGACGATTTTGAGACAGACTGGATTAAGGTGTCGGAATGCAGATTTGGCCAGGTGTACCAAGCAAAGCTGAAAATGTGGCGGGAAAAGTGTGCTGTGAAGACCATTGACAGACAGTCTTGGAGGTGAGGCAGTAATACGTGGATTGGTATGTTTTGAATGAATACTATTCAAATGTCTACTCTTGTGGTTTCTAAATTATTCTTCAATTATTTATTTAGGAATTATTTTTATTTATATAGGAAAATATGTCTTCCTTGTTCTTTAATGTGTTATTTTATAAATAACTTCTGAAATACAAGCCATATTGGCTCCAGCTACATGTGACCGCTGACCCCCTTAAGATGAGGATGACTGAACTAATGCTTTTCTCATAATTATTATCCAATGTTTTTCCTTGATAGACAAATAATCAATGAAGTGTCAGGGATTGCAAAAGTGAAATTCAAGTACCTGGTGTCCGTGTACGGCCTGTGCAGCGAGGCAACTGGCATAGTGATGGAATACATGAGTAATGGTTCCCTCAACAATCTGCTGGCAAGCCACACACTGACATGGCCAAAGAAGTTCCAGATGATTCACGAGACATCCATGGGCATGAATTTCCTTCACAGCATCAAACCACCATTACTCCACCTCAACCTGAAGACGTCAAACCTCCTGCTGGACGATCATCTCCATGTCAAGGTCAGTGGCAAAGGAAGATGACCCTGTATTACACCCTGTATTACAAAGGTAGAGGTGACTGGGTTTACAGATGTTTTAGAGCATGTGTTTACTGTTCAAAACAGTCTATCAGACTAACTGTACATTTTCTCTATAACCTTTCCAAAATATCTACCCAGTCAGCAATTATGATTTCAGCTCACAGTAAACCCACTGTATACCCAATCCTACAGAAATTGTATTACTGTTTGACCTTCACCAGACAAAAGGCATTTCCCAGTGATAAAATGTAACAACCATGGCTGTTTATATATTGCATTTGTGCTCATCCTCCGTAAGTGCATAAGTAAAGGGTCATGGTCATTATCCCTGAGGCCAAAGGGGTTTAGTTGACTGATGGTACTACTCCATATAAAATGGTCGTGAATAATGTATTTTTAAACAATATTGAGTAGTTGAGACAAAGTTCTCCTTTCAATATTTTTTTAACAAATATTCTTGCCTGCACTGCATAAATCTGCTAATATCTCTCTCTATTCCAGTGTGATGTATGTAAATTCTAATCTTCACTGTCGCACCAAAACAGATTTCAGATTTCAGTTTAATCCGCTGGGATAAGAGTCTGAGCAAGAAGTCGTTTATGGAGCACCTGACAGCCAGAGGGAACATAAGTTACATCCCTCCTGAGACATTCACTACCAGCCCTGAGCCTCCTGGAACTGCCTTCGATGTGTACAGGTGACTTTCCAAGGACACTCCGCCATCAAAACTCACTGCTTTTACACCCTAGCTCCTCACTTCACAATTCACTCTACAGCCTAACCATTTAAATCCATTACATGCCCTCCAGACATTTTACGAGACAATGTTATCAATCCTCTGCCTTACTTTCCATTCTAAATGTATTAATATAACATTTGAGATATAACTGGTAGTGTCATTTATCTCAAAAGAGTCATGTAGAATCCATTTAGAGCAGCAGTTGGTATAAACTGTGTGCTTGTCTCTGCTTTACATTCCAGCTTTGGAGTGGTGATGTGGGAAATCCTGACTCAGCAAAAACCATATGCAGGTTAGTTTTCATTCATTTCATACTTACACATTGCCCAGAATTCCGCATAACGTAAACCAGGAAAGAGGTTTATTTTATTCTGAGCATAAACAGTGTCCTAGCCTTGGAGGGTTTAAGAAGTAATGTACAGCAATGAAATATGCAGGAGTATTGGAGCAACCTTGCTGTGTTTTTCAGGGAGCAGTGTGACGACAGTGCTCGTGCAGGTGGCACAGGGGAAGAGGCCCAGTCTGGAGATTCTACCTGAACATAAACCACAGGAGTGTGAGCCCCTCATCAGCATCATGCAACAGTGCTGGGACCAGGACCAAAGCAAGAGACCACCATTCTCAGGTGAGTCCCATCATGTCTCAGGTAGAAAAGGTGTAAAAACACTGACATATTGTTGACATAAATACTTTTAGGGACTGAATGTGAGAATGTGAGAGTGAATATATATATATATATATATATATATATATATATATATATATATATATATATATATATATATATATATATATATATATATATATATATATATATATATATATATATATATATATATATATATATATATGGGTGAGTTACGACTAAGTGACTAACAGGCAATTTTGAAGAGAGTACAACTCCTTGTACAAAGCCTTGAACTTATAACAGCCACACAAACAGAAGTGTCTAAACCAGAACTAGAGAAACTGCTGTATTTGTGCCTCTCTCTGCAGTAGATTAGATTAGATAGACTACAGTTATAGTTTGCTCACTGGCCTCTCCAAACAGCTGCTCCTACAACTATAGACATCAGGGACCAGAGTAGAGTAAGGACTAAACATGAGGAAACAGTGTTTCAAATTTATGCAGCTAAAATATAGATTTTTTTTTTCTGAAGATATGAGACAGGCCTCTACTGTGACATTTTTCAAATTTAGGTTCAAAACAGTTCTGCTTTTTCAATGAATTTATCTGCACGCATCTCTATTATGTGTAATTTTAGTATGATCTGTATTGTAAGGATTTTCTTATTTTAATTTCAAATGTAGTTTTAACACACCGCTATTATGCTTCATCCCACCCCTCCATGAACATCACCTGACACTGGCAGCACTGCTGTTACTTCAAAATACACATCAAAAGAAATAAGGCATTTTCATTTCATTTTCATCTATATATCGTTTTTCATATGTTTTGAGACATAAATTTAAAAATACTACTTTGCACTGCCTCTTCGCAATAGTCCCAAGAGGGAAAGGCAGTATGGGTGTAAATTAGAAATACTTCCCCAGAGTGGGAGTATTTTTATATATTCACAGTTGAACATGTGTGGGAAGAGCTGGTGCCTTTCAGTGGTCCCTGCTTGATCCACTGATATCTCATTTACTGGGCCTCTATAATCAATAAACATTTGTAAGTCTGAACATGAAATACAAATGGAATAAAGTAACAGGTCACTTATGGGCATGGATGTATTTGATTTAACAGATTGACTTAGAGGGCTGTAAGAGAGAGCCCTGCATGTAATGCCTGAGTGAACCTGTAAAAGCAACAGAGATTAATCCCTTTACATTGGAGCATCTGGATCACCTTTGTTTAAACAGTAATTTATTGACTTAAGAAGCTATGAATACTAATGCAAGCCAGGTTTTTCCATAAACAACACCAGTCATGCCCTATTTTTGAACATTTTTCTTTTTATTTCAGCAAGACATTAATAGTTTTGATTTGCTAATTATTTAGAGGAGTAACTCAGTTTAGATAAGCAAAATTGATTTTTAATGTGCTGAATAAACATACCAAAATGGCTATTATCGAACTCCAGATCCAACAGCCAGGATAGTTTTAGTTTGAAGCTTGGATACACAGGCATCTAGGATTCAGTTTATTCCAAATAATATGCACTAGTGCACAATGAGGAAATTAGCTTGCAAAATTTCCCCAATCAAAATGACATTGCATGGTAACATCTTTGTTTTCAGACACTGTAGTGAAAACTGAGGCTCTCAGTGAAGTCCTGATGATCCCTGGTCCTGTGAAAAATGGAGGAGTGAATCCATGGATTGTTCCACCTGCTCCTAAGGTTAGTTTATTTATTCAGTTTTTTGTGAAGGCAATATGACATTTTCTGTCATGGCTGTGAAATAGCATTCTGTAAAATACTTCAGTAAGGCACTAAATACTAGAGTTCAAATTGTGTTTGACAAATATGTTCTTTTTTACAACTTGTAATGACTAATGTCACAGCTACTAACTTTCTCTTTATTTTTCTTCCCCTTTCAGATGCCTGACCTCCCCTCAGGTAGACACGGGGCTCGAGCACGATGTAATATCATGCTCAATGCAGTACAAAGCCTGAAGGGATGACATTTAAAAGTGCTATTTACAATGCTGTCCCATTTTAATGTTACCTTTAGCACAGGAAAGACCATGAACCATCTATTAAAGAACAACACAGAGCCTTGTCTCCATTTTGTCTGAATACATTACATTAAACAGCACTCTTTGCCAGCCTAAAGAGCAGTTCACCTCAGTGTACAGAGTGTCATTAATATTCTATCCTCTTCACCTTAGTTGACCTCCTTCATTTAACCACAAATAACATATCTTTTCACAGATGATCGCTATGGCAAGGAGACCATTATTTCTCTTCTGTCCAAAAAGGATTTTGGCACTTTCAGAAAATCTGTGAGGAGAGAAGATGTGCGCAGACTGTTTTCAGAGAGGAAGAGTCTCCTGCACTACACTGTGGCCAGTGGAGATGCAGAGAGTGTTAAACGTGTGCTGAGTTTGGGTGCTGAGGTCAACTGTGAGACCTCTAAAGGCAGTACACCTCTTTGCATTGCTGTTATAAAAAGGTTTGTGTAAATAGTTCACACTACTAATTCTAATGAAAAGCTCTCATTACAAAACATAAAAAATGTTTATTACAGGTTTCATGACATTGTTTCATTGTTATTGGACCATGGAGCTGTCCCCACGGCTTCAGATGACGATCAGTGGACTGTGCTCCATTTTGCTGCTCAGAATGGAGATGACAGGACAGTGCGCCTCCTTCTGGACAAAGGGGCGGAGGCGGGGGCCAAAGAAAAGGCCGGATGGACACCTCTCCACTTGGCCTGTCAGAACGGGCACGAGGCTGTGGTACGTCTGCTGCTCACACGTATGTCAGACAAGGCAGTGGGAGGGCGGGAGGGGCGGGGGCGGACTCCTCTCCACCTGGCCTCAATCTATGGACATCTAAATATTATCAAGCTGCTCCTCACCAAAGGAGCGGACCCCAACGCTGCTGACGTCTCTCTCTCCACTGCCCTGCACTTGGCCTCAGAGGAGGGACACAACAGGGTGGTACGGCACCTGCTCAAGTGTGGGGCTAATATTGACAGTGCAGACAACAGAGGCTATACTCCACTTCACCTGGCTGCTATGAGGGGGCACACAGGCATCTGCAGGCAACTACTGTCAAACAAGGCCTGCCCTAACTCCAGGACTCTACAGGGCTGGACCCCCATGCACCTGGCTGCACTCAAAGGACATGAGGCCACTGTGACTGAGCTAAAGAGCCAGGGCGGGGCAGTGGATGAGCAGGGGGAGAAAGGATGGACACCTCTGCATCTCGCCTGTCATCAAAGTGAGTGTCTGGTGGTGGAAAAGCTCCTGGCGGCTGGAGCAAACCCCAACATGGCAGAGGACAGTGAGGGCTGGACCCCCCTTCATGTGGCCTGTACCAGTGTGAGCTTCCCCTGCGTCCTACACCTGATTTCACATGGTGCAGATGTGAATGTGTTGAGCAGTGGGAAAGTCACACCTCTCCATGTGGCAGCTAAGCACGGCTGTGTACCCATAGTCAAGGCTCTGCTGCTCAATGGGGCAAACACTTCTGCACTGGACTCATCAGGGTCCTCTGCCTTAACTGTGGCACAGAGGAACGACAAGTGGGAAATAGTGCAACTATTGGAGAAGAGATGCTAATCGCTCTGTGGCTCCCAAATCAACTAAACTCGTGTTACCTCCATCATAGTCTAGTTCTTAGTTTGCCTGAAGTACATCACTCAAATTTTTATGGAAGATGCTACAGGCAAAAATATTTTTCAATGTTTTTGTTTTTTGATCAGTTTGGTCAACATAGAAGCTTTTTATGTGGAAACGACAAAATCATCCAACCTGCACAGATGTTGCACTATTTCAGTGATTCAACTTTCATCCAAGTATAAATGGGAGGTTTTAAATTCAAAGTCTGTTCACTAAAATACAAGAATGATCCCTTCCATCCAATCTTGTACTAAAACCCAATTATGATGGATCATACAGAAAGATACGCTGTTGATATTTAATTCTAAGATGAACTTATTAAAGTTTTAACCCCATTTATTTATTTATTTATTTTTAGTACTTTTTATCCAGTTTACTCAAATACTAAATAAGACAAAATCTCCTCCTGTGTATTTAGAATCTAATATGTCAAAAAAATTAGGCAAGAAACTTAAATCTGGCTCTGTCCATTTTTCTAATTCATGTGTCCCAAATATGGCAGATCTTGGTCATTTGTTCACATAAAATGGATTATTATATGAAAACATAATATGATTATAAACTTGTAATACATTTTCCCACTTACTTTTATGTACATAAACCGCAGAAGATGTTTAAATTTATATCTCTAAATGTAAGATTACTATATTCTTCTGCAGTGTCTTACCTTAACATGACTTGTATTTACAGTAGGTTGCTGTGAATTATCAATGTTAAAGTAGGTAAAAAAGGTTTTATAAACAAAAAACAATTTTAAAGAGATATTTGAAAAACTACCCAGGAGAAAACAAATTACATTATTTGCCTTGTCCATGCTGTAATGAAATATATTCATGCCCCTTATTTATTAAACATGTTTATTCTCAAAATAAGCAAATTGTTTTGTTTTTTTTCTTTTCCTCATGGTTCTTCTCTACACTCACATTTAGCCCTGAGCACTCATACTCTTCATTTGCAAACCACTTTCATTCTTTGAAAACCTTTGCATGTGTGCTTCTGTTTTAGGATTTATTTTTTATTTTTTCTGACCTTGCCGTGAGCTGGTCTTGCTATTTTCAAAAACAGTTTAGCATTCCTATTGAATAAACGGATATAAAGTCTGTCCAGTCTGTCCAGTCTGTCTAGCTCTCTGCTGTATATTTGTGGGTAAACACTGGGATTATGTTGATGTGCAGCACTTTGCAGCTCTTTGCAACTCTTTTTTTTTTTTTTTTTCCTGAAATCACCCTATGTTAAAAAAGTGAATATAAAAGCAGATAGGTGGTTATAAAACTGCAGCAAGTGTGCTTATCCAAGGCTAGGAATGACCGACACAGGCTTGCACATTATTAGGCCTGGAAGACTTTCGTGGCACTATCATTTGACTGATCATCAGAGAAAAATTATTGAGCTGGGTATTATTAAATATCTCTTAAACCATCTCGGCCTGAAATGTGTCCACTTTATAACAGTGCAAAGTGCTGCTGAGGATAATTCTCTGAGTATAAACAAGATAAACTCTTCTCTAGTGAGTAAAGAGGGGAAATGGCACAGCTCAATTTGATTGTGTATATTTGACTAAGTAAATCATTCTGTTTACTGGCTGCTTTACTGTAGCACAATGATGAACAATTAAGACTCATTAAAAACAACACACTCATACACTGATTAAAAATAATAATAATAATAATAATGTTGCTGGATTTGCTTAAAAAAAAAAAATATATATATATATATATATATATGTTTAGGCTTCAACCTTATTCGATCCCCTCTACATATATATATATATATATATATATATATATATATATATATATATATATATATATATATATATATATACATATATATAATTTTTTTTTTCTTAGAACATGACTTTTTCATGTTGATGAAATGTGATCAAATCATGCTGAATACCCATATTTATGTTACCTTATCATGAAAATTTGCCTTTATTATTATTTTATTTTTTATGTATTATTTAATTCTGTTGATATAATTACATTAATATGCTATGTCAAATGTCTTTAAAGAGTTTTAAAGTAAAAGAATACAAAAACAGTCTTTAGTTTTCCATAGTTCTATATTGTCACAGGTACAGTGACACACTCTTTGTACGTTTTGGATTAAAAATAGATCAAACAAAAGCTGATATTTTGTTTTGACCAAAAAACATAAGCTTGGAAGCTTTGGTACAGGTGGGCACTGCACAGAATGTGGCTACAGCCCTCTGCTACAGCTGTTTGTAATGACAGTTGTCTAAAATGTTACTAAATACAGGCCTTTGTAATTTCAAATGTGGAAAAATAATCCATATTGCTTATCGATTGCACTGGACTCCAAAATAGTAACGGCATTAACCTTAAAAAGAAATCAGTAAATCTATATTTTGGATGTAAAGTAAATGCAAAGCTAAAGGCCTTTTTCAAACCACATTTAATCAGGTAAAATCAATGGCCGCGCTCTAGCCTTTTTACACATACACTGACACATCGGATACGTCCTAACAGCCTATAATTAGGTTTGTATGCACCTAAACTAATTTTGTTTTCTAACAAGGAGACAAGCAGGAAGAAGATAATGTCACGTAAGCTGCCGGAACACGAATAATACTGGACACATACAATGAAGTCACACTGCAGCCCTTCACAAGAGTCAATCCAGTTGTTTTGTAAACATGTTTTTCAAAAAAATATGTAGGATGCATGGTATAGTTTCTTAATTTGATCTAGTTTTGTGCATAGAGTGAGATACACACAGTGAATGCTGTTTTTATTTTAATTTGAGAGTATATGGATCTGTTTTTTTTTTTAACTCCAGAGGAACTACATGAACCAGGAATTAGAGAATATTTAGACAAAGATGAGCATACTGTCTATATTCTTTGTCCAAATTTTAGTTGCTCTGGCCTCATGTGCTATTGTTGTGCAAACTTTTACTGCTGCTACCGCATCTCTCTCTCCTCAGAGCTCAAACACACAGCATACAATAATCCAGGAAGTGTTAAAGTCCTTCTTTACCAGACCTATTCTGATTAAATTGCCAACTTCAAAGATAGGTTTGTTGTTAGCCTGATTAATACTGCTTCAACCCCTAATTGCACTACCAGACTCCACACCCTTAGTGTTTTTATATGCACAGTTACTTTTACTTGTTTTCCATATATCAATTATAATTTCAGTTATATTAAGATAAATGCTAATGCTAATACTCATGTGTGCAGCAGTATTTTGCAGTCTGTATGTGTTATTTATTTACTTATTTTTATACATTTACATTATATTTAAATTTGATTTAAAAGATATATAAAACATAATAAATTATATATAAACAACAACAACAACAAAAAACAAAAAAACATTGTTACATAGATAGATTTTTATGCTCTAATAAAGACTGATCTTTGTCTTTGGGAAAACCAGAGTATACATTATATCTTTGCTTCAGAAACTGATAATCATATATAACAGCATCTGGAGCATTCGGAGCAATAGCTTTTTTTTTTCATAAAAACTGTCTCTCCCTCTTCGTTCACAATCATACTCAACTATATAGACCAAGCCATATATTACTTGTCTTGGGTTCTATTTACATAATGATTGGAGTGCCTTGCCAGTACAAAGAGTGACTGCTCTTACCTTAATGACAGGATGATAATCTGGGTGCTCAGTTGTATATTTAACTTCTCCTCAGGAGGCCATTCCACTCTTCGTCTCAAGTGTCCGGGTTAAACTCACGAAAGAGCCGTGTACCCTGTGGTGTTAAGCAGCGACAATCATGACAGACGCAGCTGTGCCCCTGACCCAGGTGTAGCCTCTCAGTGGGGCTCCACTGGAGGTGATGGAGATATCTACAGTGCCCTGACTCCCACGGGAAAATTTCCTCTGGACTGATGATATAGAAAAAACACTTTTGTCATTGTCATCCTATGGGCAGACTCGACAAAGGAAAAGTCATAGGTTAGACTTACTACAAACAAAAGGATGTTTCTGTGCTCTTTTCACCTTAATGTTATTGATAGTTAGTCTGACAAAGTTATCTATAGCCTATAAACACGGTGACTCTTTGGATATGCTAATTAAAATATGCCATCTTTAAAATGGTTCCAGATGTACACATAATTATTTCTGTGAGGATTTCTAAACTGATAATCTATTCATGTTTTGTACAGCTTAACATATTCCCAAACTGATTGAACAATAGTGGCTGCTTTCTCCTGAGCATGCTTATTGTCTGACCAGCTCCTTTCTTTGCTCTTGTCATGTTCTGTGAAATGATTAATGGTGGATCTCAATGCTATCTCCCCAGCACAGAACGAAGCCCCCATCCTCTGTAACTTCACACTCTTTCAATTCCCCATACAGATCAGTTTGCATACTTAGGCTGCACCTCACTCTGGTGTATTGTAGGTCCCCTATGTGCTTAAATAAACATTACAGCAGAGAAGTCCCCATGTCTTGCATGTTAATTTTACTATAAAACAACCATACCCATCTTTTATCTTATTGACATGTTAAAGAATAAAATTGTTAATATCTTGTGTAAATTAAGAAGGTCATCCCTACAATGTGATTTATCATATATTTGTCACTGAACTCATGTAAAATTAAATGAAAAAGTATACTGTATAACAAAGGTCATTTATGATTTGACTTTGTATCATCAGACTGTGATTTTAGAAAATTTTCTTTTTCTCCAAAGACACGATTATTGCCGTAATAAAACGTGCTCATTGTAAAGGCTGTAAGAGACAGAGGGAGGGGCTGAACCTGAAGTGAATTAAAGACCACTTAGATATGTAGGCTATCTGTTTCATTTCCTCTTACCTTCACCTCTTGTCCTTCAGGCTCCAGTAAAGATTACATCCAATCTGGTGTGAACCTGAATTGTTTTCACCACAATCCAGCATTCTCCCTAAGCCTGCAGCATGGTAACAAGCACTGAGTGCCTGTGCAGTAGGCCTTAGTCAGCCCACATGATGGATTACTCTCATGCATGTCAAAAACAGCATACACAATAACATTTTGTGCTTATTACGAGAAAAGGGTCTAATAAGTGATGACTGTGGGTAATTTATCAGGTAACCTGGTCAAGTGGTTATTCTGTAATGGACAAGCAAAAAATCCAGCTTCTTCTGGTTCTGTGTATTTCACTGATGTATTAATTTGTATTTGTAATGATTTTATTAATTGCATTTCAGCCAGTTGGTCTTGCCTGCAATAATCTCCCAAATTTAGTAAGAGTACGATAGTACACATTCAATTTTACATTAAAGTCAACCTGTTTGTCAACCTGTTTGTTTGCGAATGTGATTTCACTTTTATAAAAGCCCCAAAGACTTCTCATCTTTTCCCTTACTTCAATAAACGGGAGCTAGATCCATGTGGAACACAACAGTGCGCCTTCTTATTATTCTTTTCAAGCAGCTAGGAAATATGAATTGGGAATAGGTTATCTGTTGTGACCTCTCCACAATCAGTTACAGCAGCCAGGATCCAGCTGAGAAAATGAATTAATCAATTCAGTCAATACCTGTGCAGATTAAGGTGAGACCACTATCAGATCAGCCCACCAGACTTACATTAATTAGACACTGCATTACCCAGTGAAGACAGAATACATTAATAAACTCTGATGATGTCTTTATTATCTCTTTTTGTCATAATGGGCAGGTTTGTATGAGTCTTTCTGTATGTTTCTGTTGTTAACTGTAAAAAAAAAAAAAAGTATATCATTTTGTCACACTTTGTCCACATAGGCTACAAGAAAATATCCATGTTCTTCTAATTTCTTTCTATTATTATTATTATTATTATTATTATTATTATTTAGCAATTACCCCACACTGGCTGCAAGACCTCACAGGCCTTCATAGCAATATAAC